AGTCAAGCTTCCTTGTTCCTTAGTGTAGTCTCGGTCCATAGTTTAAGACTCCGTTCCTTATAGCCTAGTCTATATCCACAGCTGACGTGACTCCGTACCGACGCCTTTCCCTTTGTAGACGGCTAAGTGACTTCGTAACCTTAACGTACTTTCTTTCTTACTGTAGCATAGGCCTTCGTCGGGCTTTCGTCCCTTCGCCTATAGGCGGCAGCTTGGCTTCGCTATCGCTCATGACTTGGTATAGAGCCGTGTAGTGGTCGGCCTTCCCACCAGAATGCCTCTGTAGTCGTAGTCTTGTAGTCGGCATTCCCCAGAATGCCTATGATATAGTGGTCGGCCTTTACTTTTCTGAGAAGCCCTTTACGACTATAAAGGACAGGGGGTTGTTCACCTTTGGAAACTTAGCTACTTAAGTACTACTCATAAAGTAAAGGCGAACGGGGCTCCCAGGCCGGGACGTCTGGCAGAATGCTTGGCCTCCTGCGCTGGAAGCGACACCTCTAAAGGCAGGGGTGAGCTTCTGGCGGTTAGCTTCTAGCACTAGATAATAGGCATTAGGCATTCTGAGCTGGAAGGAGGCAAGCAAATGAAGGGAGGGCATTACGGGCCGACTACAAGAAGCAAAGCTTCGTAGACTCGACAAGTCGCTTATAGAATGCCGACCACTACATAAGCCGCTGGCGGAGAAAGCTCTTCGAGCTTCCCTTCATTCGTTGCTAAGCCAAGGTCCCAGGTCTCCGAGTCAGCCCGCGCTTTTTCGAAGAATCCTGCACCCATGGGCATACGGCCTGGCAGGCCTTCCCTTTCCGCCGGAGCTTCATGGGCGTTGCCCCGTTCCCCAATCAGATGTTTGGATGTGAGCTATACTCCGCGAGGAGCCAAACGGGCGTATGGCCTTGCCATTTGACCTCTCTTCCCGTGTGACTAGGAATGCTCAGTGACAACCTCTCAATTGTCACCGCCTGGCCTCTCTTGCTACCACGGTAGCACCTAGTGTGGTCAGCACCAATCGTGTTCGGGCAACGAAGCTTACACTCATTCACATTGGTTCATCCTGCTATGCCCCGGGCCTTTTGCTCTTCTAACGGTAAAAGGTGGCCGGCCATTCGTCAAGGCCCAGGAATCCGCTGGACATCTCAGCGGCGGGATTTGATACCCGCATCCGATCGAAGTTCCATTTGAGTGCCCCCCTAACATAACATAAAGGAGAGCTCTTTCTAGGTGGGTCGCTTTGCGCAAGACATTGCTTAGGACCAACGGGTCACACGACAGGTGCACGATCGACTTTGCACGTTCCATCCTTCGGCCCTTCGCCTATCGGCTTGGCAGGCAAGCTACCTTGATCCGTCTTCGGGTTCGATTCGTTATGCTCAGCAGCTCCAACAAGCCCTAAAGTCTCTTGCCGCCTAAAACTCTGCCAAGAAAGCGCTGCTTTACGTTTGATCCTATGTGCCAAAAGAATACTATGCGTTCTCCACTTTCGAATCTCGCAAAGAGAGAACGTGTTTTTTCCTCTGACTTTCTCTCTCATTCGCGGAGCGAAGAAAGCGGGCTTTGCCCCAGCTACCGCTATCCTTGGGAAAGCAAAAGAGCTACCGAAGGAAAGGGATGCAGTCTCTCCCTTGGCCTTTGGAGAGGAGAGGGCAGAGAAGAAAACGTCCTTCGCGCAAGTTTTTTGACTTCCTGCGCCCTTACTAGTTTTGGGGCTCTTCGACCAAGGAGGCATTCTGGTAGGAAGGCCGACCACTACATAAGCCGCCATCAGTCCAGGAGAGAAGCAAGCTACCTTTCTTTGATCCACCTTCCCGGGCAGGGAAGAGAACGAAAATGGACCGCGGATGGTGGTCGTGGTAGGTTCGAGGATCTTACGCGGCGGAGCGAACTCTTCTATCGTGTTGCATTTCCTCTGGCGGCCTAGCTGCACCCCCTCGATCCATCGTACTGGAGCGATTCGAGAAGAACGATTAGGGTCATATTCTATCCTTTCTACAATGCCCATAGACGAAGTGCTTCGTTTCAGATCAATTCTTCGCTGCAATCGCTTCGATCCACCCCCTCGGTGAAAAACCGTAATACGCCCTGAGGAATTCCTACCAGCAGACTTCCCTGTACTCAAAGTGAATTGTCTAAGTGCTCTCCCCTCTTGGCTTTGTCTCATTCAAACAGATCCAAATCTATCTCGTAATCATTCGGAATTAGCTCCTACTCCTACTCCTTCTCCTCTTTCATCGTCGTTGGTCCTTAAATCACTTGTTGTTCCAGTTTGAAGTCCGAAAATCCCAGTAAGAAATTGGACGAACCCCCGTTCTGCGAATCGTATTCTTATTCTCAATTCAATAGAAGACGATTCCTTCCTCTCGATCTTAGAATAGTATTCTTATACTACGAGATTTCTTAATCGAGTTTTGTTTTGTTTTTACGACAGGCTGAGAGGAGTGCCTGCTCCCTTGTGTTTGAGGGAGTTGGTGCGGCATTCGAAGTGGGTGCGGGTGATATTATTGGCTCTGTCTTCTTTTCGTTCCTACTTACGGCTTTAGCTTAACTAAACCGCTACGAGCCAATATGCCAATATGCCAATATAGAATAGAATAGAATAGAATAGAATAGAATAGAATAGAATAGAATAGAGTAGACTACAATAGAAGAGCAATTGCAGGAGTAGGCCTAATACATATATTATTATAGCC